TATAATATTTTAGTTACTTAAAATAAACTTTAATTGAAATAAAATAAAATATAAAATACCTGAAACTTATTTTATTTCAGCTAGTTGTGATGGCAACATTGCTCATTTTCATTTAATTTAATTTGCTAAAATAGCTAAAACTGCAATCGAAATTAATAAAAACTATATAGACATATTTTTTAAAATAATAATAATAATAATTACATACACAACAACAAAACTTTAAGTAAATTAAAAATGAAAACTAAATAAAAAATATATAAAAATAAAACTAATTCAAAATAATAAAAATAAATGTATCTCAGTGATACTAAAATAACACTGTTTAGTACATTTAAAAACGTTTATATGCATGTTTTATTTATTTTTTTAAATCATACATGTAATTAAGTTTTGTTAAATAGAGTTTTTGTTTGGAATTCTTCTGTTGTTGTTTTTTATAAAGCAGACACTTTTCCGTTATTTACTACATATAAAATGCTTATATGCTTGTTTTGTTTTTATAATGTTTGTTTTTTCATGATGCATAAATTATATAACCACCTAAACACATAGAAACCACTTATAGCAATGTTCTAACAACCACTATGAACAGCAACTGCATAGCAACAACCCAGAACACCTGAGCATCATGGCAGTGAGCTGTGCATGGACTCACATTCTCTTCAAAAAAATATATAAATAGTTAATATTTGAACTATAACCTATAAACTAGTTAATATTTGCATATTCATGAGTGTGACCTTGCAAAATGCTGTAATAGTTTGTTTGCACAGCTGTCATACATACTTACTGATTCGGACCCTTAGATACTTTAATTCAAGGTGACATTCCACTGCAGCCACATTTCCATTGTCAGTTTTAAACCATGTGTTCAGAGGCATGCCATGCTTTTTTATTGTGCATAGTCAAAGGATCTGCTTTGCTCTGATACACATGTACTCTGCTTCTGAATTCAATAAACCTTGATTTTAGTATTCCTTTCCCATCTCTGCTCTCAGTGCCACAGCCACAGATATTTTACACACCTGATAGGTTTTATTATTAGCTGATCTGCCCTTCTCTCATCCTGCTCTACTTTCCAGCAGTATAAATATCCCCTAGCTATCAATCATAGTCACATGATCTGTCATGTGGTTGGGAAAATTACAGAATGGAAACCAAATTTTAACACCTTACTAGTGGAAGAGGTTTAAAAATGAGCATAGCATTTTCTCTCTCAGACTATTAGGAAATCTCTCTGCCATGTCAATTAAAGGCTGCTGAGTAGGAAGTTTTTGTGCTGTTTAGGGGATTGTGGTTTTTAACACAGGATTAATTCATTAAATTGTTTGCCTAAAGCACCACCTTAACTCAAAGGCCCCTTGACACATCTTAAACCCGTTCTGTTACGATAAACAGTTTCCAGTTTGCTGGCAGATCTACAATCCCTGTAAGAGTAACATGCATAAACCCTTGTGTCATATGAGACAGCAGAATGTGAGGTTTTTTATTACTAGTACTAAACAGAACTTTGTTTTGTTTTTTGAGAAGACCTTGAAAGGACCTTGTACTCCCAACTTTTCAGAAGTAGGTATAGTTGTGTGTTGAACTATTGAGGAACACGTCACTGTTATAGATTAAAAAAAATAATCATCTTTGGTTATTTGGCCATCCAAAAGAACTGAGTTATGGTCAAATCAACATTTGATATTTCTGTAGCCATGTTTCAGCATCAACTGGAAACCCTTTCAAGAAGAGTTGAAGCTGTTGTAGCAAAGGAAGGACTGACTCCCTATTTATTGCCCATGATTTTAAAATTGGATGTTCAATAGTTTGTTAAAATACAGTAAAAATGGTAATATTGTGAAATATGATTACAATTTAAAATAGCTACTTTCTATTTTAATATATTTTAAAATGTAATTTATTCCCGTGATAGCAAAGCTGAATTTTAAGCAGTCAATACTCCAGTCTTGAGAGTCTCAAGATCCTTCAGAAATCATTCTAATATGCTGATTTGGTGCTCAATAAACATTTCTTATTATCAATGTTCAAACAGTTGTGCTTCTTAATTGATTAATTTATTTATTTAGTGGAAATTGTGATTGATTCTTTGATAAATAGAAAGTTCAAAAGAACAGAATTGAAATAGAAATATTTTGTAACATTATAAATGTCTTTACTGTCACCTTTTATCAATTTAATGCATCCTTGGAGAATAAAAGTATCAATCTTTTTTTACTGACCCTAAACCTTTGAATGGTTGTAAATATCACATTATAAGTGATATATTGATATTTATGCTGCGTTATTAATTTGATTAACTTTGTGAAACTTTTACCTCCTAAAATTATCTCTAATAAGCATATGATTGCAAGTGCAAAGTTAAAAAATAAAGAGAAAATTAATATGAACTTATGTTTGTATTTTCACCTGAAACATGATCCTGTACTGTTCCTCCGGCCTGTTCACCACACACATGTTGCAGCCCATCGTGGCTCGTGGTTTCCTGAGGGGGTGTGATTCCTCGATGCTCTTCACTTCCTGATTCTCCAACGTAGGTGTCGATCCCTGCTGTCCAATTACAGTAATCCCTCCCTGAGATCAGAGGTTAAGACTCTGCACTCCATGAAAGGGCTTTGATGTTCTTTTCTTTGTCTGCTTCCCTCATTCAGGCCTGGCTGCTGTTTTAATTGAGGTCCAACCCGGGAAGCAGGATCAGAGACGCTGCAGCATCCAGCCGTGAGAAAGTCAAGGTTTGATTGCTGATGAATGGAGCCTCTGATGTCTGTGTGCTTTTACTCAGCTTTGAATTTACTCCAAGATACACACTCAGGGAAGTTGGTTTAATGTTTTTGGCTTTAAAACTTCACATATGATGATGCGAATCAGATATTAAATTATTAGATAGAAAATGTTTCATATCTCCTAAGTCTTTGCACTTGAAACAAGCAGCACGGTGTGACAGGATTAAATTTACAGATCCCACTGTGTCTGAACAATATAATCAGAGATGATCTGCCTAACGTGAACTCCCTGGTGCCTCTGCCAAAGTCGTAGACTAAAACATGAATTATTAAATAAAAGATGCAATAAACAAATGTTTATTTTCTGCCACTCCGTATTCCCCTGAGAGATGCTTTCCTTCACACACTGATTTTATTATTAGAGAGCTTGTTTCCTTCATTTACATATAACAACGCTAGGTGCAGACATGCACGTCATGCTATTTGAAGTGCTTTAAAACATGTTGCTTGAGTCTGTAACTAGTGCCTGCTGCAATTCTGACTTGAGTATTCCCGTTCCATCATTATTTACGATTACAATTTCACTGCTAATGTGTTTAGATGTTCATTAGCCGTTATTATAACTGCAAGTCTATGGTTGCTGATGCCGTGCCTAATTTCATATTCCCTCTCCACAGCACATTGTATTTAACACCTGCATGTATTTATCTACATAAGCACTCTATGACTGTGTCATCATCTTTTCCTTGTCCTTCTATAAAGTGAGGCTGTAATCCCACCTCTCATTTGCACTCACTTTGCAGATAAGAGCCTGTCGTTCACAGATCACATCAAACCAGCCCTCTTCCTTTCTTCCCGGAATTCCAACTGCGTGTTCATGGCAGAAAATGAATGAGAGAGTGCACCTGTCAGATCATGTCAGAAACAGCCTCTCTTGCACTACTGAGGTGAGCTCAGCTCGTTCTCCGAACCGTATGTCAGTCTACAAGGACAGATCTCTCCATCGCATGATGGAAGGATGATTGAAAGAGGTGAAGGGGAGTCTGGAAGTATCTGATCTTGAGCAGGGAAGGAATTGGACACTGCCCTACATCTGCCCAGCTTCAGAGAGAAATCCACATTCAACAGAGCCTCAAGATATGAAAGAAACCTTTAAAGTGCATATTAGTCCACTGCTAATGATGTTCCCTTATGTTTCTGCTCCTCGCGTCTGGAGATTTGGGATGTAATCCAGCTTGCTTGAGCGTTTGAAGATGAATGAAGTGGAGCTGTGCGTTTCCAAAGAGAAAAACGAAGTCATTCAGTCAGATGGTGGGACGGTGAATCTGAAAAATCCGTTCGAAAATGTCTCAAAGCTCTGCAGGAGTGGCGCCAGCCCAGCGCACGTACATGTGTGTCTGCAAAGAGAGGGAAAGCTGCTGGGTTGGAGGAAACGTGGGGATCGGCACCACTGCACAAGCTGGAGCCCATTACAGCTTTACAGCAGGCCCCTCCTCTCCCAGCAATACCAGCCAATATTCACCAGCCAGCTCTCATCTCTCTCTCCTCTCTCTCTCTCTCTCTCTCTCTCTCTCTCTCTCTCGCTCGCTCAGCCTCTCTCTTGTACTTATAGGTGATAGCTTCACCCTCCCACCTTCCTTTCCTGCTTCCCTCATATCTTATTTCCCAGCCCCTCTTCGCTGTCTCTCTCTCTTTCGCTCTGGCACCTGTACTGGGAGCAGCTCTGCACTCAGGGTCTTTGTTGCCTGTTGTGAAAGGGGCTGAAGATGTTGTCAGTCTCTGGCTGTCAGCACACAAACAGAATTTATGACCATGTAGACCAAGGAGCTTTGAGAAGCATGACAATCTCTTGTGGCCATTCTTTTTCGCCTTAACTCTTGCAACCATACTGCAAGAATATTTGCAATAGGACAATAAGTGCACTATATAATCACAACAGTCATAATATAGTGCATCGAGTGCCTTATCGCTTCTTTAATAAAAATAAATGTTATTCATTATAAAAATGCATAAAAATTTAATTTATTGCATTAATAATAAAAAAATTATGATAACATTAAATATTAAATATATTAGAAAAATAAATGTATTATTAAAATAATATTGAAGTTGCTCCCATTCATTTTTCCTAATTAAAAAAAAAGCTTTAGACTTGAAGAAATTAATAATACTTTTTGGAAGACTTTTGTACAGTAGCATGAAAACAAATAATAATAATTAAAAAATACTGTTTTATTCCACATGGAGGAGCAGGTAGCATTATAGGTGCAGACACATTGAGGCCATGTCATAATCTAAATACTACTGAATACTGTTTAACCAACCTCTTACTGAAATGTTTTTGATTGTATGTGATGCAGAATTGCTGTATTTTATTTTATATTTTATAATTTCATTTTATTTCACCTGGAGATATAGTTCTTGGCATGTAAATTATAACAGAATATTATATTTTACTGTATTTTATTTATTCATTTATTTATTTATTGTTCTCCACTAGAAGATATAGTCCTTGACATGTAAACAACAACAGATAGTTTTCGCTATGGGTTATTATACACAGTTGTTTGGTAAGCAGGTGTTTGGCATCGGCCTGTAGGACTGGAGTGTTTTGTTTTATGATTTACAGTAAGCAATGATAAAGCAATAGTTAACAAGCGCAACGTAAAATGATGTCCTAGAGTGTAATGCTACTAAAGGGAGTCATTATTGACCTGTAGCTGTGCTGAGCACCAGTGGTGTGTTCTGGGTAAACCATGACGTGTTAGTTATTAGGTGTGATGAGGTCCCTGTGCGTATTGCAGATAACCTGTTATCTCACGCTGTCCCTCTGACTCCTCACTGCACCATAGGTAGTCATGCAAAACCAGAGCTGCCTTTTAAAATGGTTTATTTGATTTTGTGAGGTACTGGTTTATTTAGAGAACAGGGATTACCACACTAAATCAATATAAACCAGCCTACAAAACCCTACTGTGAAGTTTCCTTTGGCTTTATTATTACAGTCTCTCATGTCATTCATGGTTCTCTTTCTTTTTATTATTTATAATGCAGGCTCTGGTTCATAATGATGAAATTTTGCACTGCATCTTGCATTTCTCTATATATACGCATGTATATGCATATTTACATGTCAGGGTTGTGCACCATTCAGACATGAATTGAAAATGCTTTTTAAATTCCAATTGAATTTAATTGAATTTGGATTGATAAATCAAACAGAATACAGAAATGTAATTCAAATTTGAATTTAAGGAAGCAGAATAAAATGGAATGGAATTTACATAAACTCATATAATTGCTTTAAGTGTAGTTTTTATTTATAGATTAAATTTAAATATTTAAATTCATATTCTGAGTATTGTATATGTGCCATTACAAAGATTGTCACTGTCCTTCTCTGTTCTCTCTCTTTCTCTTAGACTATGCTTCTATGTCTTGAAGACAACCTGGCAGCCGTGATTATCCTTGCTGACACAGGATAGACCTGTCCAGTCCATCTTTGGGAATCAGACAAGTAGGTTTATTTTAATACATTCTACTGCCCTTTGACAAACAACAAAATAACACGCTGTTGACTGACATTTATCAGTTTACATGGAAGTGCATCTCACACTGAGATCCACCTAACAGCTCCACATGCGCAGCTCAGTGTTGTCATATTTATGCTATATAAACAGAATCAAACAATATATAATGTCATTTTTACCACTATATATAGGGGGGGGTCTACAGTGATTACAAATTCAATATGTAATATATTTTCTATTTTCATTCAATAAAATATGATTTTGTTTGACTGGTTGTGAAGGACGTGAACAGCAGAATATCAAAGGAAGTGGGGGAGGAAGGGAGATTCATTCAGGGGAAAGCTGGCCATTGTGTATGCGTTCTGTATCCCGACGCCAACCGCAATCACATGGCTCTGTGACTTACTATGCGTTCTTTCTGCACCTTGAATAACATGTAATGAGCTGATCTCACTACATTAGCATGCATTATACTAAGAGAGAGAGGGAAAGAGAGAGATAGTGACTGGAGGGAATGAAAGTGTAACATGAATTTTAACAATATGCTCATTACTTATTTATACCTCTGGGAGGAGAGATAGACAGATTTCATATCTGTTACTGATGCTTTCTCATTCTCTCTGCCTCTGTAACTTTTCTGTTTGTTTGTTGCCCTCACTATGACCTTCTGGTGTTTTTGTGGTCGCCTTCGCTGTTTATGAACCCTTTACAGCATTTCGATCTCCACATCATGAATAAAACAGTCAGAATTCTCTGGAGAAGAGCCTGCTGTAAACTGTTGGAGAAAGGTGATGTGCCAACATGTTGCTTTTGAATTCAATTTCTCGTTTGCTCTGATATCCAGCTGGTTCCTAAGAGCCTTGTTAGGGAGATCTGTTTTCCCATTTAACATCTCTCACAATTATACCTAAGCCATTTGGAAATCATGCATCATCTCGCAAGCATGAAAGCCTCAAATAAAAGGAAGCACAGAGGTAGAAAGAAGAAGAAAAGAGAGAGGTTGAAAGAGAGATGTGTGTGTACCACAGGGACCCTCCATAAACAACATGTTACAGGACTTCAAATAGTGAGGGATTTGACAAGCAATTATAGAAGCCAAACAAGCTCGGTGCTTTCAGAAGAGCAACAGAGAAAATAATACAGAGATGGTACAGGAGCAGTTATTGAAGTCTGAGAGACAATGATAAGAGGCCAGCGTTGGTGGGATCTGTAGGGGATGAGGAGAAATTACACACTTCAGGAGTGCAGCGTTATGGATTACTGCCTCAAGGATGGGAAGGCACCTTTTTCTGTCTCTATAATTAAAGGCATAGTTCAGGCAAAAATGAAAAATCTGCCATTGTCTGCCCGCTCATGTTGTTCAAAACCCATATGACAGAAATCATACTTTTAAAAAGTGACCAATATAATATTTTTAATGAGAGCGAATAATGAAAGAATTTTAAATGTAATAGTCCACATTTAAATACAAGTACATTATTTTTTCATGTGTTTGGCTATTGAAATATTTCAATGTTATATACAATTATTTTCACAAGAAAAAACATTTAAATATGTCATTTTGATGATCAAAGATAAGTTTTAAGGGATAAAATATTTGACTACAGGGGGACTTTTTTTTTAAATAACTTCTTGCAATTTTATTATATTTCAAAATTCCTGTAATGGCAAAGCTGAATTTGATTACTCCATCTTCAGTGTCACTTGATCCTTCAGAAATCATTCTAATATCTAATATATCGATTTGGTGATCAAGAAACATTTCTTATCAACACTGGAAATAGTTGTGCCGCTAAATATTTTGGTAGAAACCATGATAGATGTTTTTCAGAATTCTTTGATGAATAGAAAGTTCAAAACAGCATTTGAAGTAGAAATCTTATTTTGTTTTTTAAAATGT